TTGGGGTAAATTTGGTACTAGTCCCTTAAGGGATTTTCCAAAGTGATATTTATCGTGTATCTTTCTCCCTGCGTTCCAGGGGTACAAATAAAGGGACTTAAACCCGTTCCCCAAAATCAGGTCCCTATTATAAGTCCCTTGTTATGGAGCATTTCGGGCAAACGGGGTTAATTTTGTCCCTGGATGCGACTTCTTTGATGTGATATCATCCCACTACTTGTCCATTCCGAGGCTGAAAAAAATTGCTTCCTGAGATTTCTACGACTTATCTTTGTGTTTAAAGCTTCCAAATGTGCTCTAGTGTGCACAAGTGTAAGTTAAAATTTTGTCTCAGTCTGCTGTATCAATTCTTTTGGTAATTTTTTATGTATTGTCTCCTCTGGTGTCTCAGTTGTCTAATGACATCAGGTTTACCTGTGATTTATTTCTTTAAATGTCTATTTACTCTCCTATTTTTAGGGACCTATGTATGCCGTGTTATACAAGTAGGTATAAATAATGGTAAATACTACTAACAAGTGCTTTAAAAAATAATTGAGTAAACACTTGGACATATTAGAAAACATTTCAGTCCTGAGGCCTTGGTCACCATTATGTCCGAGTGTAATTAATTTTATTTAAACACAGGTATACGTAAGTACCCTAATGGAAAATGCCCACTGACTAAATAAACTTATTTATTTACTAATTAATCATACATAGTTGTAAATTAAACAGGATAACCCAAAATAAGGTCAAATTGACTTATTTCCTTGAGGGCTTGTAATATCTTTTTAAAATTTAAAACGTTTTAAGCTCAAGTGTCTTTTCAAAATGGCATATGCATGCAGTGTTATTACTGAAGTCAGGGGTTATATTTAAACCCTAGTGATATTAAATTTTTTAAATTACGGCGGTGTTGGTGACGCAGGTATTTCAAGTTGCTCCAGCATGGTGCTCCCTCACGTACTCTCCAACACTGCGCCATCTTCACTACACCATTACATCTCTCTCTCCATCTTGCTGGAGGTTGTGCTCCATCTACCCTGAGGCTGCCCTCACTGTGCCAGGTAACCCTCACATTTGTGCCTGTGGTGTTTTTTATTTTAGTATATATATGCATGCTGCGCCTCGCGGTCATGCTGCCGTCCCCCATCTACCTCACTCTTCCCTCCCCTAAATTTTCTTAACCCACACCCTAGTACCTATGAAGGGCTCGTGATCAGGGAATTTGAGCTACCCTTGGGTAAAAAAGATGTTTCTATCCCCCAGGGGGATTCTTACTTCCCACGGGGTTAGCTCTTCCCCGTGAATGAATGGTGTCTTAGTTATCGCCTGCTATACGGAACTTGGTATTTTTACATTTATAATCTGTATGACCCTTGTGGGTTTAGCGCTTTTTGATTATAATAATATTCCTTTAAAGTGGAGTACACTGTATTATACATTTAAAGGGTTGACGGACATATATAACCACTTTTTAGAAAGCCCGTTATTATACAAAACAATTTTTTGCAGCCTTAAAAACTGAATTATGATTACAGTGGACACAAGTCCCTTTGTCTGACTTTATTTTTTTGAGTAATCCTGGGTAATAACTTACTAGTTCTGAGTTTTGTAAAATGACACAAGTTGCAACAAATTTGTGACATTTTATTGTGGCAAACGTTTCGCTCTCCAGGAGCTTTGTCAAAGCTCCTGGAGGGCGAAATGTTGCCACAATAAAAATGTCACTTTAGTTGCATTTGTGTCCTTTTACTTTACATATTGTCCGGTAATTCTACCAACTTTATTACAGTCTGAGTATTGAGTGGTGTGCTGGGCCTGGCCCTGTGTGAACAAGGATGCATATAGGTAGTGAAGATTTACAGGCAGGACCCATACATAGTTTTAAGAATAGGTATGATAGGGTTCACAGAGGCAAGTGGGGCAGCACCCAATGTGGACAGCAGAGAGGCAGGGCCAGGATAATGACTCAACCCTGCAGTCACAAATAGGTGAATGACAATGCAGAGTAAGGTTAAGTTATATTAAGTATTTCAGGTTGGTTCTGGAGGGTTTCCTGAGAGTTAAGATGAGATTTGTTTGGATTTTTAACCCAGAATGTTAGCCACCCCAGGATAACCCAAGAAATCAGTGTCATTGAGGACTGTCTGTCTTATTTCCATTGGGTTCATCAATTTTTGCCCCCACCCCCCAAGCAAGAAAGAAACCGGGTACCTACTTACTGCTAGGTAAACAAGGACAGCAGGTGTAAGGAATCATGCCCAATATTTCCACCCTTGCGGGGGGACTGAACGTGGCCCCCTGGGTGTGTGGGGTTCATGTTTTTTTTTTTTTTTTTTTTTTTTTATTTACACATTAAATAATATCTTTAATATACATCTAACTTAATATGGCCAAAATCTTATGTGAATCAGAAATAGTCTACTCTTAAAACGGCATAGTTCTAGCTGCTCAGAGAATTTTTATGTTCCAAATAGGGAAATCAGATCAAGCAAAAATGATCCTAAGTGGATGAACAATAGATTAAAACATCTCATTGGTCAAAAGAGAGGCATATATGGGCAAATCAAAAGAGGAGGGGGCAGTTATGAAATCAATATACAAATTTATTAAAGAGAGAAATAAAAAAGGGAATAAGAAAAGCAAAAAGAGATTATGAGGTTAAAGTTGCAGAGAATAGAAGACTAACCCAAGAGGATTCTTTCAGGTATACAGAAGTAAATCAGGGACAAAAAATAGGCCCAATCAAAAGTTACTGGGTCACCCTCACGGACAGTGAAAAGGAAATGTGTAGAATTTTAACACATACTTCCTCTCAGTTTTTACACAGGAAGATACTAGTGAATTCCAGAAATAAAAAAATTATGTAGAACAGAATGTTAATAAACTATGCACGATTAGGTCACAAGTGACATTGTCCTTAGGCAACAGTGAGAGAATGGGAGGAAGTGTAAAATAAACCCAGTGGGGAGCAGGGGTGCGGTGGCGACAATAAGGGAACACTGTATCAACATCTGGGGTCCCAGACTTTTCAACATCTTACTAGAAGATATCAAAACACTGCGGGAAAACAAGTGTAGAAGCCTTCAAGAGTAAACTAGACAAGTATCTTCACCGGGTGCCAGACCAACCAGGCTGTGATGGAAAATGTGGGGGAAAGGGGGCCCCAGCAGCAAAGCCTGGTTGCCCAGGCAAGCACCAGACAAGCCTGGCCCATGGCTGGGCTCGGGGAGTAGATAAACTCTCGAAACTCTTGGAAGGTAATCAAAGGGTAAAGGTATATCTTCATTTATTCAGACTTCCTGCAGTACACAGATTTTGCAAAAGCCTTCAACAAGTGCAATCAGGTGTCATACAAAATGAGTGATAAAGGAATACATGTAACAGGAAAAGTGGGTTGATGGATCTTTAACTTCCTAACAAATAGAACACAGAAATAATAGTAAACGAAGTAAAGTCAGGGGCACTACAAGAAAAGCCGTGTTCCACAAGGTACAGCACTCCCTCCCCTCCTTTTCCTTCATTTCCCCATATCTGACAGAGATGCAAGCTACGGCAAACCTTGTCCTCCTTTGCTGATGCCTAAATTTGCATGACAGTTGGTCATCCATCGAATACACTGCAAATCCCCAAACTGACATCAACCAAAAACTTTAAATGGGCCACAGAAAACAACAAGTTCAACGAAGACAAATTTCAATTACTCCACTATGGAAAACTTGAGAAAGTGGAAAGGAGTATAAAACAAATTCCATCACACATTTGTATGAAAAACTAATGTGATGGACCAGGACTGATGTCAGAGAATCTCACTTTCGAAAGATCACAACAATGTATCTACTCGTCTGCTAGGAAAATGATAGGATGGCTAATGAGAATCTTCAAAGCTAGAGATAAACCCAAACCTGTGATGACTTCAAATTGCTTGTTTCTCTAGGCTGGATTACTGCTGTACCCCTAACAGCCCCTTTCAAGGCAGGCAAAATTGCAGACCTTGAGAATATAGAGTGAACTTTCATGGTACGTATAAGTAAAAATAAAGCCCTAAACTACTGGAATGGTTGAAAGTCCCTTGATTTGTATTCCTTGGAATGCAGGCAAGGAAGATATGTGATAATATACACTTGGAAAAACCTAGAGGGCTAGCCCCAAATCTGTACACAAAAATTCCATAAGAAGACTTTGGCAGACAATGCAAAAATCCCTCAATAAGAAGCAGGGGTGCCACTCAGTAAGTGTCAGAGGCCCAAGACTGTTCATCTGGCTCCCAGCAATACATAAGGAGGGTTACCAATAGACCCCTGCTGTTATTTTTAAAGGGAGCTGGACAGTCGCCCGGCCAGCTGTGGTTTGTACGTCATCTGCATGCGGCCAGCAGTAGCAGACTGATCCAAAAGAGAGGTCTGGTCACAGACGGGCGCAGGGGCGTTGATCCCAAACCCTCTCCATGTATACAGATATGATGCATATAAATACCCGGGAGGAGGCAAAGCCAAGCAAGTCTAGGGATTGGTAGCAGTAAACCGGAAAAAATATAACCTCCGTAAGCCATGCGGTCGAAGAGGCCCAACTAAAATCCAGGAGCGAGGGGACTAGAAGCCCTCTCCTGTAATTTATTACAAAAGTTTAAGAAACTTTGCTTCTTTTTGGGCCACCCTGCCTCAGTGGGGAACTAGCCGATTTGTTGAAAAAAAAGAAATTTAACATACTAATAGTTCTGAAGAGGATCTGGAGTAAACCATTTTTTTATGGGTTATAAATCTCCAGGGGTCTTGTCCTTAATAAATTCTACGTTGATTTAAGTTTTTCTTTGCAGCTGTTTAATTAGCTTTCATTTTTTAAGTTATCTGGATTTAATTTTTTTCAGGCAACCACCATGACTTTGCCCCCTGTTATGCGGGGCCTTTTGGCTTCCCAAATTAAGAGGAACTTATAATTGCTTGTGGTCTCAGTATTGTAGCTGGCACATCATGGAAACTCTGGTTCAGGATCCCAGGAAAAAGTATCTATGCTGAGTTTTACAAGTGAGTGCATTTAATAACCAGTATATCACTTTTCCTACATTTTGCTGTTTCCTGGTACACAGGGCTTTAAACTGTAATTTAAATAATTCCTTTTTCTTCTAAAGTGATAAAGGTTCCTTTGGTGGTGCATAAGCAAAAAGTAATAATTTTTTTTTTATTAACACATCTGCCATTTCCCACCAAGGCAGGGTGGCTGGAAAAGAAGAAACACTTTTCATCATCAGTCACTCCATTATTGTCTTGCCAGAGGCATGCCTACCTGAGAGCTCATCGTAAACCAAAATTATCGGAAAGCGAATCAATTTTCTCCATAAGAAATAATGGAAATCAAATTAATCCGTGCAAGACACCCAAAAGTATGAAAAAAAAAAACTTTTACCACATGATATATTAAGTTTAATGCAATCTAATAATTACAATAACAATAATAACAATAGAATAATCACAATAGAATAATTGACACTTACCTTTAATGAAGATCTGGTGATGATTGATGGGATGGGAGGAGGGGAGAGTGTCGAAGTTTTTAAGTTTAGAAGGGGGAATCCCCTCCACTAGGACTTGAGGTAGCAAGTCCTTTTCCAGGGGTTTCTTCCCTTCTTCTTTTAATGCCCCTAGGACCAGCTTGAGAGTCACTGGACTTCTGTCGCACAAAATATCTGTCCATAGAGGCCTGTACCTCTCGTTCCTTTATGACTTTCCTAAAGTGGTTCACAACATTGTCAGTGTACAGTTTGCCAACACGGCTTGCAGTAGCTGCGTCAGGGTGATTTTCATCAAAAAAGGTTTGCACTTCAACCCACTTCGCACACATTTCCTTAATTTCAGTAGTCGTTAGCACCCTTGGTCTCGATGGGTTGGCACTAGAAGCTTTCTTGGGGCCCATGGTGACTCATTTGACAGAAAAAAGCACCAAAAAAGAGTGATAATATGGATAATATAGAATGTACCGAATGTAAACCTTATATGCGGGGCACACTGGCCCGGCTTGTAAACACTGGACACGTCTCGTACGAATCGTATCGCATACCGGGTTTTGTAACGGGACCGAGGGAAATTTTCTGCGATATAATTGCATCGGTTACCGGATTTATCGGGTTTCCGATAGCATCGCGAACTGGGGGTCCACTGTGCTCATAAATTCTAGCGGCTTCAAATCAAGCAGGAGAAAGCTGGTAGGCCCACATGTGAGAGAATGGATCTGTGTGGTCAGTGCAAACCCAAAAAAAAAAATCCTGCAGCAAGTAGTGTATAATGAGAAAAAAAAAATTCCCACTTTTTTTTTTTTTAATTAAAACGCCCACATTATTGGTCTATTTCATATAGTTATTTATGGTTGTATTCTTGTTTTCTTAGTCTCATTTGATAGAATGGAAAACATATTCTAGAAATAGAGGTGATTTTGATTGGTTTTATTATGAAAAGAACCTTGAAATGGAGCTCAAAGTAGGGGAATGTTCGATTTTTGCCGATGTTCAAAAGTAAACAAATATCATTTTCCAATAAATGTCCAAGTAGCCATTCTAATATGCAGTCATGAATGGGTTGAAATTTATACAACTATTACAATATTGCAGTAGTCTGCATAACAGTAAATCTTCTATTTTTTGTTTGAATAAAAATTCAAAATAGAAAGCAACAGTAATATCAGAGGGGCCTGGAGACATGACTGATGAACAAAGAAAATGTTATTTTAGAGCCAGGAATGTCTGCATTGTTTATTCTGGACCCTATTTTGAAATTGTCGTATTTTTTAATTTTCATGAAATTGGCCAAATTGCAAATTTCTGACCACATTACTGGGTAGTTGAAATCGGTAAATGGGCAGTTTCTTGTACTCAGTCGATAGAAAAAATGGAGTTCTAAAGAAATAGCTATGAGTTTGGTCGACTGGAACAAAGGAATTAGCCGAAAATAGGGCTCAAAGTGGGCGAAATCGTTGATTTGTGAATATCACAGCGGTTGCTAACTTCGTGAGAGCGTAATTCCGTCAGTTTTCCATCAAATTTTGTTCTTTTGGTGTCATTACAATCAGGAAAAAATTCTCTATCATTTCATAAGATTTTTTTTTTTTTCTGAAACACCAGGAGACACCTCAGGATTTGGGGTTGCGACAGTCAAGGGGTTAACTGTAGTTTAGGCATGCCTCTGACAAGACGGTGATGGAGTGAATAATGATGAGTTTTTCCTCTTTTTCGGGTCGCCCTGCCTCGGTGGGAGATGGCCAATGTGTTACAAATAAAAACGTAAACTACCTTACCTGTGTACGTATTGCAGAAAAGAAAGGAATTTATTATTATTATAGTTTGATCTAATGCCATCTCACTAATTCAACTGAAGGGGTGTGCATCTCTTTAAGCCTTATCTAGAAACCCAGTTTCCCTCAATGGAAACAATTTCAGTAGCTTTGCAGATTTAATGACTGAGCTAGTTTGTCCATTAAGTAAAAATATGAAGTGTTCTGTGTTCAACAATGGAAGGTTTAGTATTAAAAAGTTCAACATGATCTATTATGTAATTAAGATCATATTATGTTAAGGAAAATAAGATAAAGTAATTTAACTTTCATTAATATAGAGAAATTTACAGCTGTATATAGTGGATGGCTTTATGGGCAAATGTGTTGCTGATATTAAAATTTGTTTTTGCCGCTTTTCCATGCACATATTAAACTTCACAGATCATATACAGTAATTGTATATTGTATTTCAGGAATTATGATGCTCAGGCTGAGTTTGACCGTATCAGGAATCTTGGTTTGTTCACCTCCTGTAAGCCAGATGGAGAAGTAGAAGAGTAATATGACTTAAGCAAAATAGCATCTTTTTCAATTCCAGGTAAGATTTATTACTGATTTGTTGTACTTAATGGATTTTTTTTTTTTTTTGTACTTTGTGTTTTCCTTGTTTTGGGTAATAAAACACCTTGGAAAGCATCTAATATGAGAAATTAGTATACATATTGTTAGACACTGAAAGTCAGTTACAGAATTACAGTATTATATCATAATTTAGGGTAAGTAAATAGGAAAAAAATTAGCTATGCATATATATACCATTGGTGCTGATGAGTGATTTTTATTTTCCAATGTCAATAAAACCTTAAGTTTTCTTCTGATTTCATTTTTTAGTTGTATTCAGAAAAATATGCTCTTTCAAATCATAAAAAAATTCTTTAAAAAATTTGTCACATGGGAAATAATATTGGTGCCTTCCACAGATATAATGTATACTGTACTGTTTAACAAAATAGATGTGCAGGGGTCAGTAGCAGCTAGACTGCCTCCCTCTTTCTTGCTCTTATTCGCTCCCATCGTCTCTTGTATTGTGTCCAGCTTTAGGAAATACACTTGGTAGCAAAGCTGGGCTTTATTTTGCACTTGTTGGCTGTGTGCTGCTGTCTACCCTCTAATGTGAGACACTACATATACTCACTACTCTCTCACTGTTATCCACTTCCTCAGTTATACTTAGGGTTAGTGCTCCTGAACATAGGCTGTGGGAAGGTAGTGATGAGGATAATTGTGTGTATATGTGGCATGAGTGCCCACTGTTCAGAGCTTCACCCATTCCTTTGATGTACCTTTGAAGGCTTTAGAGTTTTCTTACTCTTGCAGCCCAGCCCTTGGCTGGGCTTGTCTGGTGCTTGCCTGATAAAACCAGGCTGTTTCTGCCATTGGCCTGCTGGTCTACATATCCATCACAGCCTGGTTGATCTGGCACTTAGTGGAGCCACATATCCAATTTCCTCTTGAAAACTTCTACAATATTCCAGATATGTGGTAGTGTGGAAACAGTCTAGGACCATGGATGTTGATAAAAATGTTCCTCTTATTGTGCTCAGTGCCCCTGTTTTTCATTGGGTTTATTTTACACATCTTCCATTTCTTTCACTCCAGTATGTTATGGCAGTGTGTTGATTTGGGACCAGACCCTCGAACACCTTCCTAAACGTATACTTGCTCTAGTGAGTACATGTTTAGGACTTTGAAATGTTCCCAGTAATTTAAATGCTTTATTGGATCTATGTAAGCTGTAAATGATCTCTACCTGTTCCAGTTCTAATATAGCTACTGCCCTGAAAGGAGCTGGCAACACTGAACAGTGCTCTAAGCCAGAGCATTGTTCAGTGTCACCATTGATGCTATTTCCCTTGGTTTGGAAGTTCTCGTCAACCCCGTCATCTTCCTGGCTTTCACGATATATCAATTTAATATTTTTTTGAAAGGTCAACCGAGATTCATATACCCAGATCTCTCGTGTTCCTTTTGTTCTGTTTGGTGATCTTGCATTTTGTATTCAGTGTCTTTCTTGAGTCCTTCATTCTTTCCATATTTAACCCCTTGACTGTCGCAACCCGAATCCTGAGGTGTCTCCTGGTGTCGCAAAATTAAAAAAAAAAAAAAAAAAAAAATTATGAAATGATAGAGAATCTTTTCCCTATTGTAATGACACCAAAAAACGAAAAATTTTATGGAAAACTGACGGAATTATGCTCTCGCGAAGTTAGCGACCTCGGCGCTGTTTACAAATCGGCGATTTCGCCCACTTTGAGCTCTATTTTCGGCTAATTCTGTTGTTCCAGTTGCCCAAACTCATAGCTATTTCTTTAGAACTCCATTTTTTTCTATCAATTGAGTACAAGAAACTGCCCATTTACCGATTTCAACTACCTAATAATGTGGTCAGAAATTTGCAATTTGGCCAATTTCACGAAAACTAAAAAATATGACAATTTCAAAATAAGATCCAGAATGAACAATGCAGACATTCCTGGCTCTAAAATAACATTTTCTTTGTTCATCAGTCACGTCTCCAGGCCACTCTGATATTACTCTTGCTTTCTGTTTTGAATTTTTATTCAAACAAAAAATAGAAGACTTACTATTATGCAGACTACTGCAATACTGTAATAATTGTATAAATAACATCAACCCATTCATGACTGCATATTAGAATGGCTAGTTGGACATTTATTGGACAATGGCATCATTTGTTTACTTTTGAACATTAGCAAAAATCAAACATTTCCCCTACTTTGAACTCCATTTCTAGGTTTTTTTTATAGTAAAATCAATCAAAATCACCTCTATTTCTATAATATGTTTTCCATTCTATCAAATGAGTCCAAGAAAACGAGAATACAACCATAAATACTATACGAAAATAGACCACAAAGTCGGCATTTTAATTAAAAAAACGGTCGGAGTTTTTTTTTCTCATTATGCACTGCGTGCTCCAGGATTTTTTTTATATGGTGCACACTGACCACACAGACCCATTCTCTCACATGTGGGCCTACCAGCTTTCTCCTGCTTGATTTGAAGCCGCTAGAATTTATGAGTATATTACGTCAAACACGGTACCTCGTAAAAGTATATATACGGCCGCGACAGTCAAAGGTTAAATAGTTGGTACTTGTTACTGATGAATGTCACGTTACTCTCCGCTACTCACTGGAGGACTGTTTACGTCTTGCAGTTTTTTGTCCTCTACTGACGTGATTTTCATGCTTATTTTAGCATCCTCTGCAAACTGTATTTGAGTTTTTGTCAACATTGAGGATAAAAAACAGTAAAGGTGCCAGGACCATGCCTTGAAGCACTGAGCTTTTTACTACTACTACTAGACTACTACTATACTACTACTATACCACCACCATACCACCACCATACCACCACCATACACCACCACCACCACCACCACCACCATACCACACCACCACCACCACCATACCACCACCACCACCATACCACCACCACCATACCACCACCACCACCATACCACCACCACACCAACCACCACCACCATAACCACCACCATACCACCATACACCACCATACCACCATACCACCACCATACCACCACCACCAAACCCCCATACCACCACCACCACCACCACCATACCACCACCACCATAAACCCCCACCACCAACCATACCACCACCACCATACCACCACCACTACCACCATACCACCACCACCACCACCATAACCACCACAACCCCCCCATACCACCCACCACCCCCACCCCACCATACCACCACCACCATACCACCACCACCACCATACACCACCACCATCACCACCACCACCACCATACCACCACCACCACACCATACCCCACCATCACACCACCACCATACCACCACCACCACCACCAACCACCACCACCACACCACCACCACCACCACCCCACCACACACCACCACCATACCCACTCACACACCAACACCACCACCACACCAACCCACCACCCAACCACCACCAACAACCAAACCCCCCATACCACCACCACAAACCCCCACCATACCCCCAACCCTACCACCCACCATACCACCACCACACCACCACCATACCCACCACCAACCACCACCACCCAACCACCCCAACCCACCACCACCACCATACAACCACCATACCACCACCATTCCACCACCACACCATACCACCACCACCACCATACCCACCACCACCATACCACCACCACCACCATACCACCACAAACCCCCAACCAAACCCCCATACCAAAACCCCCACCATCACCACCACCACCAACCACCAAACCACCACCACCACCACCATACCACCACCACCACCACCATACCACCACCACCACCATACCACCACCACCATAACCCCCACCAAACCATACCACACCACCATACACCACACCACCCCCCATTGTTGCGGCCCCCTACCAAATAGTGGTTAAATGGTTAACCTGCGACCGGCAGTACCACTGGGTACGTCATCAAACCCATTGTGGGGACTGCTGAGCCGGCCTTAGAAGCGTACGTACCTAAAACACCTCACGGTACACATCTACTGGCCTTTGAGCAGTAAGTACCTGAGCACCTCACGGTATGCACCGCAGCAGTAATTACCAGAACACCTTACAGTATAGATCTACTGGCAGTAGAGAGTATTTCCTGCCCATCATTTGGTATTCTTCTGGCTTCTACTGATTTTAGAAGAAGCGCTCACCGCAGCTCCCCGAGTCTGTTGGCCTCAGTTATTGAGGGCCCGCATTCAGTAGTTGCAAGGGGTGTTCTGAAAGAGGATTAACCAAACCTACTTGCGGGGTAAATTGGTCTTGAAGGCGGAGTATATTGCCAGACTATCTTAGGGGTGTACTTCTACCAGTTGGGGTATTTACGGACTACCGGTATGTTGGGACTCACCCCCTAGCGGGTAACTGGGGGCGGAGTCCCCTGATCTGTTTTAGTGGGACATTACATGAAGAAAAGGTTGGAGTGTTACCTGAACTGGGGGGGAAATTTTTTTTTGGGAAAGTTTTTGTGGAAAAAAAAAGGGGGGTATGAAATGGGGGGTGGAAACAAAATGGGAGAAAGACGCGTAGGTGATAGTGTGCGACGAGAGACAAGGGTGTCAAGAGTGACACAGTGAGTATTGTGTATGACGCAGAGAAAAAGGGGTCGTGTGACACGGAGAGTAGGGGTGTCGTGTGACACAGAAAAGGGTGTTAGTGGACACGGTTGAGCAGGAGCGTCATTACACGGGGGAAAGGGTGTCAAATGACACAGTTTAGAGGGACGTCCAACACACCATGGGTAAGGTGTGTGAGACGGGGCGTCATTAAGGTGTCGTGGCCAGAGTTGACTTAAAATTTATTATTGTAAATGTTCTAAAATTTATTTTTTTGCATAGATTTTTTTTTTTTTTTTTTTTTTTTTTCCCCCAAAAAGTCGGCCGTCTCCCACCCATGCTAATAATTTTAAAAATTTATTAATAATTTAAGATGCTAAAAATTTTTTATTGTACATGTTAAAATATTTTAAAAACCTCTAACCCCAAAGATGTGTTTTATATAATATTAAAAAATTCATTTATTTTAATGGTATTTTGTATCCCCAAACCTTTATTACAAAATGATAAAACCCACCCTCTTTAAAAAAAAACTTTTTTTGTAATAATAATAATTTTAATAATAATATCATCTCATCACATCAACATCATCAAATCATCACATCTTTTATTTTTATCATCATCTCACATTTTTTTTCTTTCTTTCTTTCTTTCTGCTGGCCCATATATACTCTTCCTTTTTAGTGTGACTTTGTAAATGATTCAAGTCGGACTGAAATGTTGTCGTAAGCTCATCTATGTGTGGGTTATTTGTGTATTGGTGCCTTTTGTTATTTATGGAATTATTCAGGCACAAGGTTGGTGGTGTGGGTGCAGTTTATGCATAGGAGGTTTTGCCCACTTTGAGCCCTATTTTAAGCCAATTCCATTGCTCATTTGAGCCAAATTCTTATCTATTTTGCTATAAGACTCATTCTATTGATTGAGCACCAGAATCCACCCATTTGGCTATCAAAAAAAAAAAAAAAAAAAAAAAAAAAAAACCACTGCAGACATTTCTCACACTAAATCAATACTTACTCTTTTTTTTTAATCACACTTGCCTTCAACTTTGAATTCATCATTACACAAAAATTTTGAATATTTATCCCATTTCGTGGATAAAATATATTCAGGAATGAATGGTCATGGTTTATAGTGTCCCAATCATTGAATCAGACCTAGTAAAAACCCATGAAACAGACCAAGGGAAGTAAGGGGGCTCTGTACTCATCCTTAGGAAAATTGGCAAAAATAGAATATTTCCACTCTGTTAAAAGACAGCAAGAAACTGTCAATATAACCATAAAAATCTACCATAGAAACACCCAAAATTTGCTGTTTTAAACCAAAACATTGCCAAGAGGCCTGGTCATGGCCCAGGCTGCAGGGGCATTGTTTCCCAAAACACCCTCCAGGTAGGAGGTTTGATTTTGCCATCATGCACCATGTGAGGCAGGATTTTTTTTATACTGTGTGCACTGCACGTAGACATAGATCTACGTGACTCGCCCTATGTCAATAACAGATCTACATGACAGACAGTGAGAGTTTAACAAACCCAGAAGTTGGTAATTTGAACAATTTTAACATTATTTTAAAAATGTACAATTTGAAAACAAAAATTGTAGCATTCCAACCACTAAGGCAACCTTCCCTTTGTTCATTAATAATGTTCCTAGGCTTCTATGTAACTTGCCCTCCATTTTGAATCCACACTAAAAAATCAAATGTTTTTATCCCTATTTCTTGGTTAATAAACCATAATCAAGAATGAACCATACCCCCGGCCGGATTGAACCCGCGGTCATAGAGTCTCATTACGATTTCTTAAGTCATAATCAAGAATGCTTCATCATGGTTTAGACCATCCATACAACAGACGGAGAGGAATGAGGGCCCCTGCCCTTCAGGAAAATTTCTCGTACTTGATTTTACGCCAGTTTGATGCCTATTTCACGTTGTCCTGTAGTTTTGAACTTCTCTATTTTACTATTAGCAATCAAGAAATAACTAATAAAATAAGAAAACCATTCTAGTTAAAAAAAAAAATACCTGTCTATTTTAACTTAAATGTGAGTGCAGGCTAGCTGTTCCCATCATGTACTGTTTGGGGAAGGATTTTTTTATATACTTCTCACATCCCCCACAGCCCCATTCTTTTGTTTTGGTAAAAAATTTGTCTTGGCAAATTTGAGAAATCCATTTTGTGTGATCTACGGCACCATCACTGGGTCCCCCGACGGAGATTTGGGCATAGTCAAATTATTAGTAAAATACAGTATTTGCTATGTTTGTAACTGAGATCAGTGTGTCTTAATAATTTTTGGGTTTAAATGCCGAATATTTTTAAATGAGGAAAAATTGTGAACTAGAACATTGTAACATTGGGCCTACTTTTATATTTTGTTAATTGCTTTCTTTGCATGTCATTCTGTTTAGGATCAAGTTTCCTCCCAACCCTTTTCGCTTCTCAAAGTTTGGTTTTCACAACAAGTTTTTACTGTAGTCTTATCCTTCCTTAACCCCTTGACTGTCGAAACCCTCCAATCCTGAGGTGTCTCCTGGTGTCACAAAGTTTAAAAAAAAAAAAAAAAATATTTTGTGAAATGATAGAGAATTTTTTCCGATTGTAATGACATAAAAAAAAACGAAATTTGATGGAAAACTGACGGAATTATGCTCTGCGAAGGTTTAGCGCCCTCGGCAAATATTTACAAATCGGCGATTTCGCCCACTTTGAGCCCTATTTTCGGCTAATTCCCTTTTTTCCAGTCGACCAAACTCATAGCTATTTCTTTAGAACTCCATTTTTTTCTATCAATTGAGTACAAGAAACTGCCCATTTACCGATTTCAACTACCCAATAATGTGGTCAGAAATTTGCAATTTGGCCAATTTCACGAAAATTAAAAAAATATGACTATTTCAAAATAAGGTCCAGAATGAACAATGCAGGCATTCCTGGCTCTAAAATAACATTTTTTTTGTCATCAGTCATGTCTCCAGGCCCCTCTTTATATTACTCTTGCTTTTATTTAGAATTTTTATTCAAACAAAAAATGGAAGACTTACTATTATGCGACTACTGCAATACTGTAATAATTGTTTTAAATAGCATTAACTCATTCATGACTGCATATTAGAATGGCTAGTTGGACATTTATTAGACAATGACATATTTGTTTACTTTTGAACATTGGCAAAAATTAAACATTTCCCTACTTTGAGCTCCATTTCCAGGTTCTTTTTATAGTAAAATCAATCAAATCACCTCCATTTCTATATGTTTTTCCACTCTATCAAATGAGACCAAGAAACCGAGAATACAACCATAAATACTATACGAAAATAGACCACAAAGTTGGCATTTTAATTAAAAAAAAACGGTCAGTTTTTTTTTCCTCATTATGCACTGCGTGCTCCAGGATTTTTTTTTTATATGGTGCACACTGACCACACAGACCCATTCTCTCACATTGTGGGCCTACCAGCTTTCTCCTGCTTGATTTGAAGCCGCTAGAATTTATGAGTATATATATGTCAAACACGGTACCTCGTAAGACGTATATATACGGCCACGACATCAAAGGGTTTAAGATGCCTACTTAAGAAACTTTGCTGCTTTCTTTCATCAGGTTACTACATATCTCACACCTCACTATTATACTGTACTGCTGTCATTTTTGGTCCTTTTATGTTAGAAGTGATCAAGGCCCCAGGACCAAAATATTTTCTAATAACTGTATCCTAGTGTTTGCCTTGGGTTGGTGAAATAATCTTTCTGAATTAGAGGTGCTGGTAGTAGATTGTTAAACCTCAGCAAATTGCTTTGATAAGAAAGCTGGGCTCTTTTACTATTTGTGCCTTTTCTATGTAAAGTAAATGTAGTGCAGTTATTATCATTCATTAAAATAATAGCTAATTTTTTTTTTTTCAGGTTGTGTGTAACACTGAGGGAAAATTGTTTTTACTGTAAAAAAGCTTGTTGAATGAAAAATTATATATAAAAACTAAGTTCTTTTTTTTTCTTGATTTTTATAAATACTGTCAGTTGATTTCTGTATTAGTACTTGTCAGGTCTGTGTTATTAACCTTTCCCTCCTCCCCATACAATGTTAAACTACAGGTATTGTCAAATATTTGAAGTATAAAAAAAATGTAGAAGTACCAGAGTACCTATGAAAATTGTTGAGAATCAACAAACTGGCAAAAAAGTAGACTTTTTGATGATAAAATAGAAATATGGAAGCATCTTTGAAAAGAGCTTAACCCTTTCAGGGCCCTTTCCCATAGATCTACGGCTTTACGTTCAGGGTCCAAACCGTAGATCTACGTCATGAGCTCAGCTCACTCTGATAAACTTGTGAGTGGTACATTTGGGCCTAGATATGAGAGAATAAATCTATGTGGTATGTGTGCACCACATAAAACAGATCCTGCAGCACACTGTGTATAATAAGAGAAAAAAACTGAAATATGATTTTTCAATTAAAACAGCGACTTTGCAGTGTTTTTTCGTATGTTTTTTATAGTTCTTTTTGCGATTTTTTGGGTCTCATTTGATAGAATGGAAGACATATTACAGAATAGAGATGTTTTGATTGGTTTTAGCACTGGAAATGGCTTGAAACTGAGCTCAAAGTAGCAGAAATGTTAAATTTTTTGCCGATATTCAAGAGTAAACAAACGACCTCACACATCTAATACACACCGCTGGTGGGTCTAATATGCATTCACAATATGGTGTTTGATATTTATACAATTATTACAGTATTGCATAACAGTAAATTTCTATTTTTGGTGTGAATAAAATTCATTATGTGAATAAAAAAATCAAAATTAAATTTATTTGTAAAGCCTCAAAACGTAACTAATGACAGAGGAAATGTTAGTTTAGTTCCAGGAATCCCTACATTGTTTATTCTGGACCTATTTTGAAATTGGATATATTTTGAACTTTGTTTTAAAATTGGCCAAATTAACAATTTCTGATCTTTAATTTGTAGTTTTGAAACAGTTGACTTGGCGAAATTCTTGTGCTCAGTCGTTTAGAATAGAAGTAATACTAGTGAAATAGCTAAGAATTTGGTCGACTGGAATATTAATTGGCCTAAAATGGGAGTCAAAGTCGGCAAATCCCCGAATTTGTAAATATCACTGACACATCAAAATTCGCAGGAAAAGCATAATTTCGTCAATTTTCCATCATATTTTTTTTACTTTTTGTTTTATTACCTTCACAAAAAGATTCTCTACCATTTCAAAAGAAAAAATAACAAATTTTTTTTTTTGAAAATTCTTGGACACTGGGGCACCACTTCAGATTTGGGCCTTGGACCCTGAAAGGGCTAACAAGGAAACCCTTTCAAGGGGTGCCTTAATATTAGTGATGGCTCTTGAAGCTTTAGGTACCTTCCCCCCTTCCCTTGAATCAAACAGATTACCTCACTCTCTTTTCCTTGGTGCTGTATGACCCTTAAATGCTAATATTTCCCCATGAATATAATACCTTTATAATCCCTGTTGCTTTTGTACTAGACCAGTGGGAATTGGCTTGGGAAAAAGTTTTCCTTTTGTTGAACCAGTCAGTGATGCTGAACAAAGCCAAAAGGCTCCTAAATTTGATCATGATAAACATTAAATGTTACCCAAGAAAAGATTAAAATTGTTTCAAAAAAACAGTAGGGAAGTTTGCCCTCTTGGGCTAACTTGATTGCCATGAAGTAGTGGTGAGAATCATTCCTTGCCATAAAGTGGCTGATGGAATCATTCCTTGAAATCATTGGACCAGCATAAAAAAAAAATCCTAGTTTTATGTAATACTGAAGAGCTGTTACATGTCCTAAATGTATTGCTTGTCTGCGGTGGTTAAAAAAAAAAGGATGGTTTGAAAAAACCACACTGTTTTCTGCATAGTACTTCTAAAAACAAAAATGTATGCGTGAGGAATTACCGATATATTGGCCGACTTCTCTACCCAAAATACTGTACAGATACAGTATATTCTTATTAAGCCTGTTTGACCTGGTAACATCAAAGTGACGCAAGCTACATGAATGGACCGGAAATGGTGATCGTGATTCCAATGGAGTAACCCCCTTTGAAAAAGTATGTAACTGATGTAGATGATGTACACTAAAGTTCCCATTCACAGTTCAGTGGAAAACTCTGATATGACTGCTTACCAGGCTGTTGTGGGTAGGTACCCTCTTACTGCCCAGGACAGGGTTTTTAAACTAAAAACAAAACCAGGCGGACCTGGCATCTTGTAGATGAATGTTTCAGAAAACCCGACACGTTGATAAATTAGACACATGTGCAACTCTTGGGTATCTTTGAGGAAACGTTTTGCCACACAGTGGCTTCGTCAGTCCATACAAAGGAGAATGGTGAAGAACAGGAGGAGTTTGAGGTAATCAGTCCCTCAGCCTTGAGTTGATGTGGTCAGTCCATCAATTTTTTCAAGATTGATGGGCTGACCACAGTTAGATGCGAGTAAAGGTCTCAGTTTGCCGGTCAAATTGCCAGCATGGGCTATGAGGAGCTGGTGAATATGAAGGAGAAATAAGGATGATTGAAAAATGATCGCTGTCACGCAGTCCAGGAAAAAACAGATCAGGCGAAGTCTAGTACAGTTGAGAAAGAGCAGACAGAGATCGATGCAAGAGAGAATGAGTATGAAGATCAAAATGGGTGGGAGCACCGGTATTTAAAACATGGTGGGCATTAAAATCCCCCAAGTAACAGAAGTGGTGGTGTTAAGGGAAAAAACCAGAAATGCAACATCTGGGATAGATAATGCCCAAGGAGAGAGATACAAACAACAGATTGTATCCCACTTGTTCAAGTGGATACGGGTTGCAGTTTTTAACTGCAGCGAAGTATGAACGAAGAGCTGACAGTATGGAATACCTGCACGTTAAGAAGTCCACTTTCATTAAAGGATCCATCAGAAAAGGGAAATTCTGATGAATACTGTATTAATAAATCATAGCCCGAGATGGGATGGATAACAGCGGAGATAATTTAGGTTTTCTTGAAAAACATAAACAAGGGAAAACGGGGGAAAGCAACACGGAAGCTCACCTGGTTACTTTGAGGCCACAGATGTAAATAAGCCTGATTTGTAAAGAGAAAGATACAAGAAATCTGAAGGTAGAGCTATCTACGGACTAGTAGGGTTAGGAAAGTTCATATGTGGAGGCAGTGGAAAACTTTAAGCAGCAAAGGTTTGGGTTTACATTGTGAAGAAAGGAGTTGTGCAGATGGAGAAGAATGAAGAGGAGGAACAGGAGGTAGATCAGTGTGTATCAATGGTTTTGTCTCCTCAGTATATCCTGAGATAGCTTCAAGTGTTTCAGAGGACAAGGACGTATGGGGTTTCAATTTTGGAGATGGAAGGAGGAGGGTGAGTAAAGATCGGGGGTGACATAGGGGGGGATAAAAGGATAAGAGGAACTGGGGAAGAAGCTTGGGAGGGGAAAGGAGAGGAGGCGACCTGGGAGGGGGCAGAAGAGGAACTTGGGAGGGGACAGGAAGGTTACTGTACGAGGAGGATGAACCTCCACACTCGTAAAAGAGCCACTTAGCGGTAAAGAACCGGGTACAGAGACGGGGAAAGGGAAAAAAATGTGCAGATTGTAGAAGGGAAGGAGGGGTTTAGAGGAGATTTTAACAATGGGAATGTTTTGGACTTCAGAGAAGGAGGGGGGCGATGGGGAGTAGGTGTTGTACGAGGTCTTCTAGACACACAAACGTGCAAGTGAGAAGAGGAAGAGGTGAGAACAGAATAAGGTGCCGAGGTAGGGACCTCTGAGTCCAGGACAACAAAAAAATTTTAGAGATGGGGGGGGGGGTGACTGTGGAAGCGGTGACCAAGAGGAGGCTGCGGAAGTTGGGGGTGTTTAGTAACTTGAGAATAAGAAATAAAGGTAAGTCAACCTTGGAGGCATAGATGGGGACTGCCATAGCATATGGGGGGCCTTCTGCCTTTTTGAGACAGCAGATTTCATGCTAATTTAAATTATTATTATTATTATAATCAAAAAAAAGTGCTAAGCCACAAGGACTATACAGCGCTGCAGGGCAGGAAGGAAGCGAGGGCATCAGGTGGCAAAAGGGAGATGGATGAGTAATAGGTTAGGATGACAGGGGGGGTAGTGGATGGTGAAAGGGTAAAAGGGCAGCAAGAGACTGAACTAGAAAGGGTTGAGGGGATTGTTGCGAAAAGTATCATCAAAAGGTTGTGGAGTAAATCAGTCGTTGTCAAGAAGTCAATGAGAGAGTCAGGTTTAAAGGAGGGTCCATTCAGCAAGAAGGGAAGGTAAAGAGAGAGTAGTAGAAGGGAAGACGACGTTGGAGGTAAATTCTGCGTGCTCGTTGATAGAGAGGGCAGTCTAACGAATGGGGCTAATCGATACTGGAATTTGGGACACTGCTCACAGAGGGGAACAGGGTGCCTCTCCATGAGATACCAGTGGTAAGACGAGTGTGGCCAATGCGAAGGTGGGAGAGAGTGGTCTCCCAACCTCGGCATGATGACAAGAAGAGGCCGTAACCTATGCTCGGTTTAATAGAATGAAGTTTGGTTACGAGCAGAGTTGACCAACGTTGTTGCCAAACGGGTGCGAAGGTGGGTAGCTATTGCAGCAAAATAGTCCAGAAATGGAACACCTCGATAGGAAATTGGTAGGTCATGTACTGCTGACCGCCGCAGCAGTGTCTGCCTGTTCATTGCCCGTATGTCGACATGACCAGGGCCCCAACAAAAAACAATATCTTTGTTTGGTAGAGATACGGCGTAGCCAAAGTTGGATACGGAGAAACTAGGGGATGAGATGTATCAAATTTTCGTTATAGCCTGTAGAGCACTAAGGGAGGTCTGAGACGACTACAAATGATGACACAGGCATAGATTGTTACGAATAAGTGCTGCAAGAATGGCATACAGTTCAGCAGTAAAAATGCTAGCTGAAGATAGTAA